CTTAATTATTTTTCAAAAATGACATGAAACATTTTGTATATATATACTTATAACCTTCTTATGCTCTTTACTCTCTCTATGTGACTTATAACTCTTTCTCAATACAGATATATTTATTTGCAGTCGCGTGTTCTTCCTCTCTTGCTTTTTTAGGGTTTAGACTTTCACAACTAATACTCTAAGCCCTTAGTGTAAGGAGTGCATTCATATCGAAAACCCACTTGCATTTCTCTCTCTCTCTCTCTCTTTTTCTTCAAAGTGTTTCACTTAACCTCTCCTTCTTCCTCAAAACCTCTCTTTCTTTCTCACTTAACCTCTCTCTCTGCCTAAGATCTTCTTCCTCACAACCTCTATCTCTCTCTTTTTTCCACATATCTCAAAGTTTCTTGTTTTATCATTCTTAATTTGCGAGAAATCAGAAATGGGTGTCGTAAAGTTTCTTGTTTCTGTAACCGTACTCTGCTTTTTCTGGACGTCGGAATCGCAGACGAGATCTCCGAACAAGCCAAGGTTCCATTTCCAGCCTCGCGAGAACTATATGAATGGTAACAATTTGTTCTTTTAGTTTGTTTTCGGAACTTTTAGTTTGTTCGTTTTGCATTTAAAAAAAAAAAGCCCATAAGTTAAACCCCTAAAGAAAAAAGGCCCATATGGTAGTTAGCCCATTTTCAAATTTTGGAAGTAAATTGTGAAACAAATAATTTACACACGAAACAGAGTGTCGATCCCAATTTTTTTTTTTTGCTAAACAATCCCAATTCTTTAGCGACTACGATTCTGATCAGTTGCTGAATGATCTCACTCGCTCACTGTATTTAATTTTCATGTTTTTCCTATGATTGTGATTAGAAAAGTCATTAACCTTTCTGTTCTGTTGTGATTGTAACATCTTTGTTGTGATTTTTCTTATGTCAACAGATCCGAATGGACCGGTCTATTACGAGGGATTCTATCATCTCTTTTACCAGTACAACCCAAAGGGTGCCACATGGGGGAACATTGTCTGGGGCCATTCCGTTTCGAAAGACTTAGTGAATTGGGAAGTTCTCGAGCCGGCGATCCATCCCTCTAAGTGGTTCGACATCAAAGGAACATGGTCGGGTTCCATAACAATCGTACCAGGAAAAGGACCGGTCATACTGTACACAGGACTCAACCACAACGGGACGCAGCTTCAAAACTACGCTCTCCCAAGAGACTCATCAGACCCTTACCTTAGGGAGTGGGTCAAACCGGACGACAACCCCATCGTCATACCAGATTATACCATGAATGGCTCGGCATTCCGCGACCCAACAACTGCTTGGTTCTCTAAAGACGGTCTCTGGAGGATGATTGTCGGGTCACAGCGAGACGATGTCGGGATTGCGTATTTATACAGAAGTCGGGACTTCAAGAAGTGGGTCAAGGGGAAACATCCCATACATTCCAGAGTGTCGACAGGAATGTGGGAGTGTCCTGACCTCTTCCCGGTTTCCTTGACACAGGGGTTGGAGTCGGATGACATCGGTTCGAACAACACACATGTTCTCAAAGTAAGTTTAGACTTGAAGAGGTATGACTATTATACTCTTGGGACATATGATCCTAAGAAGGAGCGATACGTACCCGACGGTCAGTCTCCGGATGGTTGGGACGGTCTGAGATACGACTACGGCAACTTCTACGCTTCCAAGACGTTCTTTGACTACAAAAAGAACAGAAGAATCTTGTGGGGCTGGGCCAATGAATCTGACACCATTTTCGATGACATGTTGAAAGGTTGGGCCGGCCTTCAAGTATGTAATCAAACCACAATTTCTTTTCTCTTTTCAATACATTATAATATCTATACTGAAGTGTTTGTTAATTATCGTACAGGCAATACCAAGAACAGTCTTGCTTGATTCCAGCAAGAAGCAACTCTTGTTTTGGCCCGTGGAAGAGATTGAGTCACTACGAAGTGACTCAATCGGAATGAACAGCCTTGAAGTCAAGACGGGTCAACGGTTCGAAGTCGAAGGAATAACTCCTGCGCAAGCCGACGTGGAAGTGACATTTGAGATCGGAAGTCTCGAGAAAGCTGAGACTTTCGATCCGAGCTTCAAGTTCAAACCACTTGAGCTATGCATGAGGAAAGGCTCCAATGTCACCGGCGGAGTAGGACCATTTGGTCTGATCACATTGGCCACTCCGGATTTAGAAGAATACACGCCGGTGTTTTTTAGAGTCTTCAAAGACCCTTCGACACGCAAGCCAAAGATTCTCATGTGCTCCGATGCTAGAGCGTACGTTCTCTCTCTCTCTGTATCATATTACTTCCAAGTTCCAAAATACAAAATGTTATTCATTTGAGCTTCAAATTAGAATAGAACACTAATGAATCAATGATTTACGTTATACTGTAGTTCGTCGTTAAAGCAAGATGAGGGTCCACGTCGAGAGGAGAAGATGTACAAACCATCCTTTGCGGGGTTTGTTGATACTGATCTACATAAGGGAAGGATAGCTCTAAGGAGTTTGGTACGTGACTTCATATATACGTGTGTGATATGAATGTTTTGATATTTGTGCTTATAAAATGGAATATAATCTACAGATTGATCACTCGGTGGTTGAGAGCTTTGGAGCTCTTGGGAAAACAGTGATAACGTCTAGAGTGTATCCAGTGAAAGCAATTAAAAAGAATGCCCATTTGTATGTGTTCAACAATGGAACACAAACTGTGACCGTAGAGAGTCTCAATGCTTGGAGTATGAAGAGTCCTTTGAAGATGCATTAATGCAAATGACTGAGATTCATTCTCTGCTTGTAGTTTACTACTTTGTTTCATAAGGGCTAGTTGTCGAACTCTTTATCACTATTTCTTGTCAATTTTCAGGAAAATTCAACCTTTAAATCGTATAGAATCTTGGAATTATATTTTCTTTTCTACTACAATAGTCATACGTTTTTTTAATAAAAAGATCTCGAGGATCTAAGAGCATCACGAACGGAGAGAAAGACTATTGGGTTTCTAATATATACTCCCACTGTAACATATTACTTAAGATTTCTACACATAAATTAAGAAAGACTATTGAATTTTTTTGTTTGTAATTGTTTTGGTTACTAATAGNAGTAGTATTAATACGTTAATTTTATAAATTTAAACTATAAGTATCCTTATCCACTTTTTAAGTTGATGAAATCAGAATCTGAAACTTTCAATAGTTATGATTAAACTATCAATTTTAATTTGTCAATTAATTATTTCAATTTTTGTTTCAATTATTTTGTTCATTCAACTAGACACGTAATTTATTTATTATGTTAGTAAAATAATCTGTCACATTTCATTTTTATGATTTAAACATTTAGTTATTCAGTATATGCTACGAAAATATTATATACTAGTAATTGCCCACGCGTTGCGTGAGATTTAAAGTTAACATGGTAAAATATGCA